TTAGCTGCAATCGCATGATAAATAAGAAATGATGACAATAATAATTTTTTGCAATAACTGCTACTTTGACAAATGAAATTTATTAACTGTCTAAATATTTTTATTATGTTAATTCAACTCTTTCTGTAGAGATATACTTAACTTCAGACAGGTCTTACCCTTTCTTTAGTTCAAGTTAGCAAAAAAAAAAAAAATCTGTCCTGGAAACACTGGTGACCCTCATCCATCAGAAAGGTTGGAACAAAATTATAGCTTTGTTTGGCTTATGCAGAGCGAAGTACTAGTGGCATTCAATAAAACAGGCCTGTCTTCTCACAAAGACCTCCTAGGACTCCTTGGGGACACAATGATACAAAGATGGGACATTTTACTCTTTTGTAGTCTGGAAGACATATGTAATGTCACGAATTGTGTCTACAAAGAATACATGGTCAGAGGTTAATTTTCTGAAAATGCTACAACTGAGGGCATACAATTATGCCCTGAGACCCCAGGTTTTACAGAGTTGCAAAGTCATTATTGCAAAGTCATTAAACAATGAAAGGGTACTAAACTCTGGTAACTGCCCCCATGCTCCCGAGGCTCCTGTCTAGTAACTTTTAATAGTCCCAGTTTATGGGTGGCAAGCATTTCATTCTGGAGGTCATAACTTACTTTGTTTTCACATTTTGGTTGATTAATTTAGATAGACACTAACAATCCTTAGATTACAAAGTAGTCCTTGTGGCATTGTTTCCTCTTTTTGGAGATAACTAGTCTTGAGATTACAGTTTCAAAGGAATATAAATACTATAAACCAAAAAGTTACCTTTTCCCCTGGTAGGAGCACCTTTTATCATGGCAATTACTTTGTTATCTCATTTAACAATTGCCTCTAATCCCCTTGCAAAGGATGGGCACTATTTCCCCCAGCTCATAAACACCTCTTTTCAGAATAAAATGCTTCCCTCTGGAAGGCAAAAGATACTTTTTAGTAAATTACTTGTTAGCTAACAATAGCTAGGAACAATCCAAGAAGCTCAAATTACTTTTTGGCCTCTTTCTTTCCAGAAGGCAGGGCAAAAAGCATTTTTTGCTACCAATATGAAAAGGCTGCCCTGGGCCAGCAAGTGGCAGGGATCCCACATGGCCAACTGTGAAGTTCTAGCCCTGGACTCAGTGGCTTGAAAACACGCTGGCGCTGGGAGCAGCAGATGGTGTAATGGTTACGTCAACGAACTCCCATGTAGTTGACTGTGGTTCGAGTCCTGAACCCAGCAGCTTAAACTCATACCAAGTGTGTGTGTGTACATGCCCAAGATCCTGAGACTTAAGAAAAAGGGACTGTGGCGTGGGCATCCCGGGGAGGGGGGATGATCTCTTGCTTTCTGTCTCTGTCTCTCTCTGTCTTTCCAGTGAGTACACATGTCATATAGCAAAAACCTCTCTTAAACAAAACAAAACAAAGCAAAGCACGTTGGCGTGTGCATCCATGCTCAAAATCCTAAGAGGAGGAAGGGATCGACACGGCCGTCCTAGGGAGTGGGGGGGATTTCTCATGTTCCCTCTCTCTGTCTCCCCTGCAAGCACACATGCCCTACTGTAAAATTTTTAAAAAGAAAGAAAAAATACAAAAAACTGGTGCCTGCTAAAATAAATACCTAGTACCATTCATTCATCCAACACATAGTTACTGACTGCTTTACTATGAACCAGTAGGCATAATTCTAAGCCACAGAGATTTCTTACTTTGTCAGCATAGATTAGATAGTATTTCTTTTTAGTTGAAACAATAGGATTTTATTCTTTTAAGTAGCTTTTCCTTTCTTGTCTCATTTTTTAATACTTTAGGCTGTTTTTAAAATAAACCACATAGAATATTTACATCATTCATTAAAGCTCAGTTGAAATTATTTTCACAGTTTGAAGAAATAAGATTATAGATAGTTTAAAACTATTTAAATCTGTTAAAAGTATGGGTTAGAATAAAAGCTGGTTATAACATTATTGGTCTAATTAAGAAAGATAAATGAAAAGTAATAAGCTAATTTGTAATGGTAAGTTATGACACACAGCATTATTAATTTTAAAACAGGCAGCACATTAAAAGAGATGAAACTTGTATTATTTATCATCAAATCTGTTAGTTACTATAGAAAATATAAGGAGAGAATAATAATGGATTTCTTTTTAGAATACTAACATATATTTTCATCCATAATCTATGTTCTTAAAGTTTCTATATAATCTTTAATAAATCATGCCTATTATTTATTTTGTACAAAATGGATAGGGCTTAAAGTATTCATAGTGAAAGCAACGCAATTTTATTTTACAGCTTATTTTCTAGACTGTTGGTTGACCTCCAGGCCAGATCTACCAACCTCATCTGAAAATCTGAAGGATAACCTATTAGCCTGCACCTAGGAATACCATCTAAAACAGCAGAAACAAAAGATACAATGCACTTTCATCATATGAAAAGAATATTACTCTTTCTCTTTTCATGGAACAGCAAGGTAGCGGACACTCATTAATGAAGTGTTACAAAGATAAGAGGCGTGGTTATCCCACTCTTACCAAATTATGTGGTTTTAACTATTAATCTTTTATGATTTTTTTTTTAAAAGCTGACAGGGAGCCACTGACTTGCAAGACTATCCCACAAGGTTCAAGCCTTACCCAAAATTGAATGCCCTAATTCTTTTGAAACCCACCAGGTTTCCTAAGCAGTCCAATCAAGGGGATATGTATGCTTCGGAGACTCACCTACTCGTTCCTAAGCACATGAATTAAGAGCGTGAGAACTGAGTTCAGTACTTATGGGAGGTGCAAGAGCATACATAAGAATGAATGCACAGAAAGCAGCTTCGTGGTTTACTGGTCACTAAGCAGCAGCTGTTAGTGAACTCTGGTCAGACATTAAGGTAAATATCGGAGCAGACAGTCAGCGTCCTCCATGCCTCCTGTTCCATTCTTCCTTCTCCTTTCTAGCATAGTAATTCCACTACCATATTATACGACTCTCACTAGCCTCAAAAGACCAATAGGCCAACCCGACAGCCTTCCTGCTAATAGTAAGACACATTCATGAGACACGTTGTATAGCCATTGTTCGGATGGTATCCATCCACGCTGCTGTGGTTCCGGTTCAGGCTGCAGACTAGCCGGGCTGAATCTGAGTGGTATTTCTCTACGGGTTAAACAACTGCATGTCAAGGTACACTTCCTAGTGCAGTCACCTCCATGCTTAGAGTACGTCTAGTAATAAGCTCTGTAGGTGAAAAGATCCTGTGAGTACTTTATCAAAAATCCACATGGAAACAGAGGGAATTATTTTAAATTTTTGTTTTATAAGGTTGCCTACTTTAAAAAAAAAAAAAAAACTTCTCTCAAGTTCTAATTAATTGAAGGTTATGAAATAACCACTTCCCCATAGAAGGTAGCACTTTCACCTTTTCCGAACAGGGGAATACCTTTTGTAAATTAGGTTAAAAAAATAAGGCCTTGCTGGTTGATGGTCCAAGATTACTGTCTTATCTATACCCATCTCCCTAGACAAGGGGCACTGCCTCAAAGTCAAGGCAGTCACTTCAGCAAAGACACAGACGTCTGAAGCACCAGCAGTGCCAGCAACCTGCATGCATATTAGTTTCTCAAAATAGCATCCATTGGTTTCACCGCCACGATAACAGAAATGTAAGGGATATGATCACCGAATCTAAAATTCTGACTATTTCAGACTGCGCTTGGACCAACTGCCACTCAGTGACCCCCGAAGGTCCCAGTGAAGAAGTGGAAAGGAACTGCGAAGATGCAAGCACTGCTTGTCAAGGGGACGGCTGTTTTCACGGGTACACTCCACTATTAACTGACCAGGTTTGAAAAACAGGGGCATTGACTCAGCCTGAGTGCCCACTGCAGAACACACAGTGAAACCCAAGCTTCCAAAGAGAACAGATTTTCAAATCACAACCTATTCCTAGTAAAATTATACTCCTTTTCTTTAAAAAGTTTTGCAATCTGTTTAGAAGTGGTTATTTTCACAGTAAGCAGTATTTCAGTTCCAGCGTCAAAGGTGTCTGGAGGGTCTTCCTGTGTGTTCTAAGTATGCCCAGGAGCTGCAGTCTGGGTATTTTATTAAATCGAGCCAGGGAGGGCGTTAGGCGTTGCAAGTATATTAACACAGATGAATGCTTTCATGTCTGCACTCCATAGATTCACATATATAAAACCTATTTAATGACGTGATGAATGTAAACTACTACAAGAAGCGAATCTTTTTATTTCCTGTCTTCCCAAGTTTACAAGCTAAAAACACTACTTTGCTTTAAATTATTTACATAATTTTTTTAGCGCATCAAACAGTAAAAAGATGTGTCTCTAGAAAGCACAATATTAAAATCAAGAACATGACATCCTTCAGCTAAAGGCTTCAGTTTTAATCAAGTTTCCCTTTTCAAGTTCTAACAAACACTACTGCAGTTTAAACTACTCAAGAATATTCAGTTGGAGAATTCTGCTAGAAAAATAATTTCTGAACCTCTGGGGCTCAAGCGTTGGTATGTATAAAGGCCGTCAGTTTGTAGCACATTTCGATGCCGAGTTATGTGTTGTAGTAACATCAAAACCATTGTCTCAGGTTATGAGTTAGTGAAAAAACATCTTGGCGTTAAACAGAGTCACTGAAAAAAATCTTGACGTTAAACAGAGTCACTTAATAAGTTGCAATGCTGAAAACCTCTATCGAACAAAATTCGTGAAAATGTCTTAAATCTTGATCACCGAACCCTGTATCATTGAGCCCTGTTCGAGTTTCCGGACAGACCTATATAAATCAGGGCAAACGGCTCCATCATGGTCTATTTTTAAAGACCACAAGAAAACTTATATACCGATAGGCTTTGTTTACCTTATTAGTTTTGTCTTAGAGGTCACGCACTAGGCATGGTGTCGTGGTCCAAGAGTTTGACACAATCGTTCCTATAAGGTGCTCTAAGTGGGTAATTTCTCCCTCTCACCTGCCAGGCCCTGCAGGGTGCGTCTCGGGCCTGTGTCTTTTGAAAAGGGCTGTTCAGGTCCACAGCAGGTGAACGCGGCGCGTCCGGGTGCGGTGTGCGCGCGCACTCGCGGGTGTGCAAGCAGCGGGGGCTTCTCTTAGAAGGAGAGGACGGACCGGCTGTCCCCGTCGCTTCGGGGGACCTGGGGAGGCTTCCCCGGGCAGGGCTGACACTTCTGCTTTCACTTCGCGGCCGCCCCGTGAAATCTGTTCCTGCACTGCCCACCCCGCCCGCGCCGGCCCGCAGCTCACCTCGGCGCCCCCGCGGC